CTGACTCTGTTCATATATATTTTGGTCAAACTACCTGAAGAGATTATTTCCTCCTCAAACTGCCTTTGCCAAATCTTGCAGTAACTAAAGAATGAATCCAACTTTAATAAATCCTTAGGAAGTAATTCAGCCTTGACAGAGCCTGTTAGGAAATGTGATTTAGTCTTGTGTGCCTAGATAAAACAAACTTCTAATTTTCTAAAGCATTTTTCATCGAAAAGCCTTGGTATTTTTTTCACCAAAAATCCTTTCTCTTCTGTCATCAATAAACAAACTGCCTGGATTTTCTTCCTCCATGTATTTAACTTAACTACTGAGACATTCCAAAATCAAGTAAAAGCTAAAAAAGGGTCAAAAACCCCCTACAATATATGATAGGATATATATAAGCATGAATATGATATACATATAATGTAAATGTCCCTGGCAGGGACAGAGGCCACCTAAACTAACAGATGCTTTGGTTTCTACAGATTTGACTGCAGATAGTTGTTTTTTTTATTGTATATTGATAAAAACTATTGAGTATCAAAACTATACAATCAACGCAAGCTGCATCAACTGTGGAAGTGATTTAATTTTTATAACAAAGTGTATTTTCATGAACAGAAGCAAAATCACAGGACAGTGCAGGGAATGCAATATTCCCAAGAAAATGCTGAAATCTGATACCAACACTGGTAAGTCAGGTGGCATTTTTCCTCCTCAGGAGGAAGACACATATCCCTTGAATCCTACATTAACCTGGATCATATCCTGGCCACATCAGGCACTGTATGTGTGAACTGATTATTTATTTCACATGCATCAGCCTGACACCTCTGCGATGCTGAAGCCTTGCTGTGCCACATCAGCTGTCAGAGGAGGCTGCCCAGTGATGCCCTGTGCTGGCAGATGTGTGACCAGGTGATTCTGCTCCTGCATTTTTCCCCTTGCCATTTCGCAGCTGGAATTGCGACACGCTCACCAAGCTATGAAAAACTGCTCAGTCTTGTTCAGAAATTTGCTTTCATTGAAAATATTGGAGTGCCCTCTGGTGGAAAACTGAACAGCTGAAGTTTCAGTGCCGCTAAAAATTTTCTTTTTTTCTTCAAATGCAAATGACAATTTGTTGCTGGTAAGCCAGAAGGTCAAATCAAATCTTAGTTACATCACTGGATATTTCAAGGCCAGGTTGGTCCCGAGCTTTGTCAATCTGTATGTCAGTGTGTGCAGGTTTGAAAACTTCAATCAGATATCACCACCTGAGCAAATCTACTAAAATCATATAAAAAAATGTGGAAAATAGGGCTTGCAAAGAGGTGAGAAAGCCTCTGTCATGACACCCACGCAGTTGTATCCCCAGACTGTCTATGCAACAAGTTGCTCTGTGTGCAGAGTGTGTCCTTAGCCCTGCCCAGGAAGAGAAGAGATGTATGCTCTCCATCAGAAAGCAAAGGGACACCACTCTCACAGGACAATTGCTGGCTGGAGCTGCTTATTAGTGAGAATATTCAGCAGTGCATTGGGTTACATTCACTTTCTCAGTGTTAAAAAGCTGAGGCGATGTTTTAACTCGTGTGCTTGGTCATTCCTGGAAGCTGGAGGTGCAAAACCTACACACAGACTGGAAGTGGCCCCCTAAGGCACCCTGGGGAATCCCCTGCACAGAACTGTAGCATCTGGAATCATAAGGTCACAGAGCCATAGAATCCTTGAACGACTGGGACAGGAAAGGACATTAAAGATCCTCTAGTTCAATCCCCTCCCATGGGCAGGGACAACTTCCACTAGACCAGGTTGCTCAAAGCCCCGTCCATTCTGGCCTTGAACACTTTCTGCCCACTTCACTGGGCAGCCTCTGCCACCACCTTCATACCAATAT